TTTTTTTGGTTTATTTACATAAATATAAAATATACAAAAGTCCTATATGGTAACAATGCTATTACATTGTTCTCTCTATGTCAGTACAACTAAAAATTATCTTATTTAGCATTCTAGGCCTTTAAAAATATACTCAGAATATAATCTTAAGAAAATACCACTTACAAATACTTTCCCAATTCTAAATCAATAATGAGATCGACTGCTCATAAATATCATAAATAATATTCACATTGTTATTAAATTAATATTTAATATCATATTTTATATTAAATATTTATAATATTTAGCACTTCGAACCATCACCAGTCGGTGTTAAATGTATCAGATCATTTTGATTTGCCCAAAGTTTAACTTTATTTTCTGTCCAAAAGCCGTCATGAAAAATTGTTGGAGTTATCCATTCATTATTGACGAAATTATTTTTATGGGGACTTTGGTAGCTTAGTACCTGGTTATTAAACATTTGACTATCTTGTTGAATATGACAATTATTGTAACTTATGGTGTTCTGATTCAAGAATATTGTTTTCATTAGAGGTTTAGGATTAAAGGAGTTTCCTTGAATGTTGTTGGTAATTACATTACTTACATCATTTGTTATGGGAGCTATAACATTACTCGGCATTTGCTGGAGAGGTACTTTTGGATGCACAACTAGGCTTGGTTTAGTGTTGACTGGTGTTTTGGAAACAAATTGCACATTGTTAGAATTAGGAAGTCGTACATTTGGATTACTTCTGTCAATTCCAGGTAAATTTACTTGATTTATAGGCTTACTAGAAGAGAAGTTTCCCGAGATATTATTTTGTGCTGATGGATTGTCATTAAATGTTTTTGAAGGAAAACGATTAATTTTTCCAGGTGATTTTGGCTTAGTTGGTTCACAGGGTTTTGTTTGAGGATTTCTATTTTCATTGCGAGATTCTCGAGTTTCAGTCTTTGTGGAATGATCACTAGGAAGGCCAATTGTGCAATTGTTTGTTTGTAAAGCCATTAAAACTTTATCAGAAATTACACCTCCAAAACTACACATCGTTTCCTTGAGAGCATTCAATACAGACATCTGCAACATGTGATATTGCTCAAGAGATATTCAAATATTATTGTAATACCTTCACATTCAGTCGACTTACTTTTCTCACCAAACTGTATGCAGTTCCTCTATCCATATGTGATAAATAGCAATAACCCACATTCTGTCTTTCTAAACGGTTAGAAAGCACAGTAATATTCACAAATGTAGAAACTCCTACTTCAAATAGTCCATCCTTCTCCACGGAAAAATCTAGATAATTCAGATATGGTATGCCATTAGGTAATAAAATGGTACATATTTTAAAATTACTTTTACAGTTTTAAATGTGTGTATACACACACACACACACACACACACACATATATATATATATATATATATATATATATATATAATGTTATTATTTAACTTTCAGTTCAATATTTTATTTTTTCGTGAAACAATGCCTTTAAAATTTGTATTGACACATACAGTGTCAAAATGTATATAATAAATAGTTAACCTTCTTATTTCGATTATTTGGCTGCAAATAAACATTTCATGAATATGTTTCAATGTATAACGAAAAATCTAAAGTTTATATACATTTTCATGGCTTTTGTTGCTTAAATTAAATCAAATAGGTATATCTATATAAAGAAACTTGCCAACATCTTGTTTGATCACTGTCCAACTCCAAGAATTATCCCATATTAAATTTCCTAGCTCAACTAATGTTTGCTGTAGTTTGTAACATTTTTTGTATTCTTCTGTTTCATCCATCTTCTTAATATGAAGCTCAATTAAAAATATGTGTAATGTGTAAACACTTAGTTAAATAAGAAATATATATAATATATAGCTTTCAGTTAACAATTAATTGAGAAACTTTATAGATTATTTGTACAAATATACAATTGATCAATTATGGTTCAGAACGTGTATTTATATTCGCCATTATTTTTCGCAATAACACATTTCGAATGTCATAACAAGCCTACGAAAAACAAATACGAGTAGATAATGGTGAAGTACGAGGTGAATAATAAGAGTGAAGTGGGAATCAGAACACCAAAAGTTCGTTTTGACTTCACTCCATATTCTCTTCTTTTATTATCTATGCCATAGATATACCATTCTTAGGTTTCAGTTCAAGATATTTCATATGACAACACTAAAAAAATGTAGCACTTAAATTTGTTTTAAAATTTTGAACATATTTTTTATATTTGATGAATGATTAAATTTAGAATATCTGAATTCATTAAATAAAATATGGGGCTATTATTCCTGTTATTTGAGGATTAAATTTTTTACTAACAAAAGTCGTTTTGTTTTATTACTGACCGCTGCCAACTTAATGCCGTCTGTATAGAAATGCGGAATGCTATGTTTTCTTAATTTAAGTCGGCCAACTGACAATTTTAATTTTGTGAGTACTTTAAATCGAAATTATCGTATATTTATTATCATTATTGTATTTATTTGTATTACAGTATTATATTTTTACATAAAATTGTAAATAACCTATCCGATGTGCTTTGTTAGCATATCGTTATCCATGTGGATGTTTTTCATTAATTGACACCGCTTAATCTTGCTTAGTTAATGCTTAAATAATTGATAAATTGAATAATAAAATTTATATCAATATAAGTGCTACTTCGCTTTTTTTGTTTTCGACCTCTACAAATTGTGTACTAAGTTTTTTTTATATAACCTATATTAGAATTCTTGAGTACCTCCTCTTAAAATGGAAGGATCTCAAGAAGTGGAGGCCCTTGCAGCAGAACTAGCTCGAGCTGTAGAATTGACAATGAATCCATCTGTATCACAAAATGATAGATTAGAAGCTTATAATGCTTGTGAAAGGTAAGAAAATCATTTATAAATTTGTCATTATTGTGCAATGTACATAAAGCAGTTGTTTATGTTAATATTTTAGATTCAAGGAAAGTTCACCACTTTGTGCTCAAGCTGGATTATATTTGGCTAGATCTTCTCAGTCAGATATTGTTTGTCATTTTGGTTTGCAACTAATGGAGCACACAGTTAAATATCGTTGGTTAAATATTTCACATCAAGAGAAGATTTTCATTAAGGTATTATCAAAATTTTCTTAAAATCCTTGATATCAAGTATGAGATATAAATAATAAATATTTTAGGACAGTGCAATGAAATTGCTTCATAATGGAATGGGGTCTTCTCCAGAACAATCTCATATAAGAGACGCATTGTCACGAATTATTGTTGAAATGGTTAAACGATTGTTGAAATGGTTAAACGAGAATGCCACAGCAATGGCCTACCTTATTAGCTGAATTATCCGATGCTTGCAGTCGTGGTGAAGTTCAAACTGAACTTGTTCTTCTTGTGTTTCTACGTCTGATAGAGGATGTAGCATTGCTTCAGGTAATATTATGAAGGCAGAATTCAATGATGGATTTGATTTAATTTTTTTGTTTTTACAGACCTTAGAATCCAGTCATAGAAGAAAGGATATTTATCAAGCTTTAACAAGTCATATGTCTGAAATTTTGATTTCTTTTTGAGATTAATAGATCATCATGTTACAACTTTTAGACAATTGAAGGAATCTAATAATCCAAGAGCGGATGCTCATAAGAGGGTTGTTCAAGTGAGTTTATGCAAAATATGATTTATGCTAAATCTTGTCAAATTAAATATCGGTTGATAGAATTAATTGTAACATGTTATCTTTTAGGTTGTTTTACTAACTTTGACAGGATTTGTTGAATGGGTGTCTGTTCAGCATATCATGGCTGGTGATGGCAGACTTTTACAAATACTTTGTGTATTACTTATTGTGCCTGAATTTCAAATGCCAGCTGCAGAATGTTTATTACAAATAGTTAATCGCAAGGGACAGGTACAATTATCATGTGTTTGTAAGCTTCAGCAACATGTTTTAATTCTTTTTAATTTTATAGATTAAAGAAAGAAAGCCATTGCTAATTTTATTTAGTGAAGAGGCAATGGGTTTTATATTTCAAGCAGCTGAAGCTGCAACGAGTAATTCTACAGAAGAGCAGCATTATGCCTTTTTAAAAAAATTAACACAGGTGTTAGGTGGACTAGGATCTCAATTAGGTGCACTTGGGGCAAAGAAGATGGTTCAATTATCAGACCTGCTAATTTTTCAACTTATTTAGAAGCTTTACTGAGGTTTACAAGTCATCCAAGTTTGACTTTAACACAGCTTGCCAATAATGTGTGGCTGGCATTATTGAAACATGATCATATCTCTAAAGAACCTACTTTTATGAGTTATATTCCGAAGTTAGTTGAATGTGTTGGACCAAAACTAATAAGGGTAAATAAGGCAGTCTAGAAATTTGTAGTTGCTTTTTCATTTTAGTGTTTTCTGATTAATTAATCCTTATTTATTATTATACTAATTATACCTATTATTTATTAATTTATTATATAATTTTTTTAATGTTTTGTTCTTCTTGATGCTGATAAAAAATTATTTATTTTATTTATATGACAAAAAGTTGGTATTTTACCTTTTTATACATTTTCTTCTAGGTGGTGTATCCAGTTGCTCGACCAATTAAAGGTGCAAATGATGCAACTACATATGCTAGTATGGACTATGATAGTGAAGAAGAATTTATATCATTTTTTAATCGCTGCAGGTCAGATATCTTAGATAGTTATCGACAGATAACTCTTATAGCTCCATCTGTTACTTATGGTTATGTAGAGCGCTGGTTGACGATTCGTTTACAGAAGTCTGTAACTGAAAATCACAGAACAGATGGAAATATTCTTGATCCTGTTTATATGGAATGGGACGCCCTTGCTCAAGCTTTGGACAGTATACTGAGCAGAATTTTGATGGTAAATGAGAGACCACCTGTAGCCAATGGATTAGCATTATTAGAACTGTGTTTAAGTTTTGAAACTTCAGATCCATTAATATTATCAACTCTTCTGTCTTGTATATCAGCCTTATTTGTGTTTCTCAGTATGTCATCATGCCAAATTACTGCTGGAAATTGTGTAGCTATGACTGGAGTATCATTACTTCCTAGAGTTCTTGACAAGATTTTTGCAGCTTTAGTTTTTAATGAACATGGCCAAACAACAGAGACCAGATCCAGAGCAGTGAAAAATGTTAGAAGGCATGCGGCCTCATTAATGGTCAAAATAGGCCACAAATATCCTCTGCTTTTGCTGCCTGTATTTGATCAGATAAACACCACAGTTCAAAGGCTTGCTCAAAATCCTGACCAGCTTAGTAAACTTGAGTTGATAACTATGCAGGAATCTCTTTTGCTAATATCTAATCATTTCTGTGATTATGAACGTCAGACAAAATTTATTTATGAGACAATGAGTCTAGGTCTTGCGCAATGGAATGTTATTGCACCTGTACTTAAATCAGCTTTTGATTTCATGGACTACATAGGCCTAAACAAACCTCCTGTGGAACCAAACTCAAATGATTTGTATGGGCAACAGAGAGGCAATATATTGCGTAGTGTACACACAGTTTTAGCTATTGTAAAACGCTGTTCTTGGCCCGATGATCCTGACAGGGCCTCAAGAGGTGGCTTTGTTGTTGGCTTTACAGAATCAGGAAATCCAATATGTAGGAATCCAGGGACTCCACATATTATTCCCTTATTGCCTCACATCTTATCATTACTTCGTATCTTAAATGAACTTTGGATACCACAAGCATTGGCCGCTTTGCCTGAAGGTTATCGTCTTGCTCATAGTATGTTGGAAAATGATAAAGCTAATTTATTGGGCACCGCATCACCGATAATAATTGATCCCATGGATCCAAATACACACAAAAATAATAGTTCCTTGGACCGAATGCAACAGTTTCTGTCATTAGTACATGATGGCTGTTACCATTTGATGGGTGCTGCAGGTCCTTCATTAGGCCGGCATTTATATGAATTACCAGGATTAGAACAAGCTTTAATAAATAGCATATTTTCAAATTTAGAACATATACCTGATTATAGACTGAGACCTATTATCAGAGTATTTCTTAGACCTTTTATCTATTCCTGCCCTACAGCATTTTATAATTCAGTTCTGCTACCAATTTTTGCTCATATTGCTCCTTTTATGTTAAATCGTTTGAATAATAGGTGGCAATATATCTCTTCATTATATGAATCTGGTAAGTTAGATGAGGATAGTAATGATACCCAAGAAGTGCTAGAAGACATGCTTAATCGTAATTTAACTAGAGAATATTTAGATGTACTGAAAGTTGCCTTGGTTGGTGGTACAATTATTTCTACTGATACCATTTCTTCTATGGAGCAAGATGATTCATCAATGGATACGCCTCAGGCAAACCTAACCAGAGCAGCCCAATCTGCTATTGCTTCGGATGTTATAAGTGATTTAGGAAACAAATTATTACGCTATGAGCATTGTTCAACACCACTGGTTCTCACTGTTCTTAGTGCTATTGCATGGAATGATAGTAATGCTAGTATGAAAGCCACATTGTTAACTGGACCCATTGTTAGATTTTTGGCATCTGAGCAAGTACTGAATACACAGATCGCAGGTCATATAATGAATGTTATTTTACAAGGATTACAGCTCCATGGACAGCATGATGCCAATCAAGGATCATTATTGACCTTAGGCGTGCAAATGTATGAAATTTTAAGACCCAAGTTTCCATTAATAATTGAAGTAATGCAACAAATTCCAAATGTTAATATGGCAGATTTACAAAAGTTTGATGAAAAAATTTCAACTGGTAGTACGAAAGGTAACAAAATTGATAAAGCTAAAAAGGACTTATTCAAGAAAATTACTAGTCAGGTAGGTGATGCAATATTAAACACTTAATTATATTTTACAGCCATGTTACATGTTTGTTCCTGTTTTATAGTTAATTGGGCGTAGTATTAGTGAGTTATTCAGAAAGGAAGTAAAAATTGCAAATCTCCCTTTACTCATTGTGCCAAAGCCAGAACAACAAGCTCTCGTTGACTCAACAAATGATGTTGGATTAATAAAACTGTTTGATCGAAAGTAAATTGTTATAAAAACATCTGAACACATAATCAATATCTATTGATTAAATTTTGTATGAATGAGACATTAGCATTTAAAGTATTTATCTCTAACGCATTTTCTACTTAATGTAGATAACTATTCTTTGGGAACCAAATCTATTGGTTACAATAAATATTTCTAAGTGTTGTCCATTTTTTATAAGATTTATATATTTATGAGATTAGGTGAATAATTGTATATATAAAAATGATTTTTCATTTTTTGTTAATTTTATTAAATTTGACTGTTTAATCTGTAATTTATATTTTGATTATTTTTATATGTACAGATAAATTGAATTAATTTATTATTAGGAGTATAAATCTTATAGTTATGTTTTCTTCGCATTCCAAAAATGCATTGTGACAATATATCAGTGAATTGTAAATATGTGAAATCAAATTATAGCAATCCGAATTAGCCAAAACTGTTACTTTGATATTTAATTGCATACAAACTATTTTAATAATTGCCATTTACGAAATAAAATTACTTATATTCTGAATAGTGTTTGGTATAATGATTTATTTGCTCTTAGAAATTGGAAAGATTTATTTAGGATTTGTTTCACTATAATCAGCAAATAATAAATCAGTTCACATTTTTATTCATATAAAATTTATTTGTAACATTAATTTTAATATACTAATAAGTATATGTAAACTTCTATAAGTAAGTTATGCCTGTTGATATCAACTGTAATTATTTAACCTCCATGACGACCAATGAGAGAATTACTTTGTTGAACTGGAACAAAATAATTTGAATTAAAAAGAATTGTTTTGTTATGTTTCTAACCATTTGTAATACAAACACACCTGGACATTGAGTGCAGCCTGTTGTATAGGCCGAAGATTGCTGTTGAACTGTAAAAAAAAAAATTGAAATAGCACAGATTTTGTTTGTTATGTTTCTAATCATTTGTAGTACTGAACATACCTGGGCATTGAGTGCATCCTGCTGAATAGGATGAAGTTTGCCGTAATTGTGCTAATGGAAAACAAATATGAGTTGAAATTAAAAGTTTCAAATAAAATATGTAAGATATTTATTACACGAACCGATATTTTCCGTTGGATTTGGCTTTGGAGGTACTACGGCAACTACATTCGATGTCGATCCAACATTTTGCGGCCTTGTGAATTGATTGTAATTTACTGGAATGGTCTTTGGGATATTGGATGAAACCAAGGAAGTTGACCAATCATAACTTGGCGCGTATGATGCAGGTACTTGTTGCGTAAGGGATTGCAAGACGGATGAATCAATCGAAGTTCCCGACAGCGTATTTGGAGAATAATTGGTTCCGAGCTGGGAAACATCGTATGTGAGGGTTTGCGAAGCTGTGGGCCACACTGTTTGAGTATGGCTTGGTAAAGTTGACACCACTTGACTAGGCAAAACTTGTTGAGTGAGCGATGCCAATTGCGAACTCTGACTACTGAATCCTAATTGACTATGGTCCACCGCTGGATATGTACTCGGTTGAGCAACAGTTTGATAATTTGGAGCGTACGTGTGACCTGTACTTAAGATATTAGATGCACTTCCCGTCGAAAAAGTTGGAAGAGTTAAAGTTTGACTAGTGGTTTGTGGAGTAAATGTTGACTGCAATAAACTGTTGTCATACTGTGCGGGCAAGTTTGAATATCCTGAAAGACCGCCGGTTAAGTGTTGTGGCTGCAGTGAGTTACTACTGTATTGGACGGTCGGCAGATTGAAAGCGTGCCCTGTAGTTCCGGTCGTGTACGCATTTTGCAGTAAGTTGTTAGTTGGTAAATTAGCGTAATTTCCTGTTTGAAGCCCATTCAGAGGCAATCCCCCAAAGGTCATTAAATTGGAAGTATAAGAAGGAAATTGGGTTAAAGCTCCGGAACTACCTAAATTTGTTGTTGCTAAATTCGATGTTCCAAAACCAGGCCAATAATTTGGCAAACTTCCACAAGGGCTAGGGCATGATGACCCACAACTGGTTGCACATCCCCCACCGAAGTATGGCTATAATTTCATTAATCAATTTTATTATCGGAATGGAACAGTTTGACATAGTAGATTTCAATATTAATTTCATATACATTCAATTATATTAATAAAAAATAATTATAATATGCTTTAGCTATATTTTTTAAACTGGATTAACAACTATATAATTTATTAAATATTAAAATTCGATACTTAAATACACTTACTTTTGGCTTCCCTTGTGATAAGCAAATCAAACCGGCAATTAAAAATAATTTAGACCACATTTTGATGATCTATGTTGTTCACTTACTGATTCAAACCAAACACTACGCACCCAATTTAGGAAAGGATCGACAGTCGATTTCCTAAAATAGATTAATTAGATTTTATAACAAAATTGCTAATTTTTTATTTGCCTTGACCTCTGATAACTTTGCGGCCTAATAAAATATGAAACACAGTGATTCTAAATCTATTCATATATAACTTATTTTAGAAAAATTCAAATAATATGTATTTTTTGCGTTTTTTCTTAAGTAGCTTATTTGATATGAAATAATATTTTATTATAATTATATTAAAATTAAAAAAAATTAAAGTACAAATTTCACTGAACTATACTATATTGCCCGACTTGATTAATGTCAGGATTATAAGGAATAAGTACAAGTTATTTTCGAAACTTGTTTTTAGGAAATTTTTATTTATGCACTTATTCATTCACGATATACTTTTCAAAATGTTGGAGATTAATTCATAAATGTAATGAATCAAATTTACTCATTAAATTCGATAATGATATTGAAGTGTCTTAAAGCGCGTTTGAAATTTTTAACATGTAAAATCTTCATGGCTGTCTTCATTCGATTGATATGATTATCGAACGAACTACATTTAATATTAACTGATATTATTTTGTTATGTAATAATCAGATTGTTTTGATTCACTTAGTTGAATACATGTGCATCATATGTGCATATTGTATCTGAATCATCAAAAGTTCAAATACTTTGACTTCGTTTCAAATTGTGCTTTGTAAATATTACTGATTTGCTTTTCTATTCATGAACATTTGATATTTACTGTTTTTATGTTATTTTTTATTTATTAAAACATCAGGTTTATCCATAGTTCATTCAATCGCGCATTTCGGTAACGTATCTTATCTTAGAGGCAATTCTTTCCCAAAACGCGCATTTTATTACGACATAGATTATATTTAAACTATTCGCTAACGCACAACAGTATATAACTTAATTTCTTTTTATATTTCTTGTTATTCTTTCGATCGAATTAATTTCTTAATTTAGAAATTAAAGATTAATGTGATTTGATTACATTTGATATTGCAGCTAAAGATTAATGTAGTAAAGTTCGCAAGAAACAGCCGATACTTTGTTGCTGAACTTTGTTCAGCCACCTATTTGAAATCTAAATCTAAGTTATTTGTAATATTTCAATTTCAATTCAACTAATAAAATAAAATTAGTGGCATTTTGCCTTAACGCATATGTCATGTAGAACTTGCCAAAAAAAACGTTAAAAACATAAAACATTTAATTTCTAAGAAACGTAATTTGCTGATACTTGAAAAATCAGCTCGATCTTCAATTGATATTTTTCCAATTATGATTGGCAAAATTGTAGTCGAAAAATATTACTCTTCTCGGCTAGTTCTAAAGACTTATATAATAAACACAAATTTTAACAGAAGCTTTTAAATTTTTTAATTTCGGTTCAGCAGTTTTCAAAATAAAGTGAACAAAAGGATTAATTTTGGCTCACATACACACACATTGGACATTCAAATTTTGGTTTCAAACGATTCAGAAAGACTCATACTTTCAGCAAAACATAAAATTGGCAATTCGAATTTTTTGGCGAAAACATAAAGTTGCGCTTCAGGAAGTTAATAACATTTTGGTAAATTTTTGTATATCCACATGAAAACCATAAAAAAATTATAGTAAATTATTTGTAACAAGCTTAAAAATGAAAGAATAATTTAAAAAACTATTAGTTTTTCCAACAAGTTTGTTTTATTCAATCAAATTAAATAATTATTTATAAAAAGTTGGTTTAAATATTGAAATATTATTTGACTTTTGTGGTTTTTATAGACAAAACGCTTCTCTGATAGAACTAATATTTTATATGAGAATGAATATAATAGAAATGATAGAAGTTCTATCATAGAACTAATATTTTATATTAACACTTTGGGGACGGCTGTCCACCTCAGTGGACAAACATACTCTGTGAGGCACATGCTATTTTATAAACAATGATTCAGTTTGCATCGAAAAGTTGAATAAATTACATATAGCAGTGATAAACAGTATTGTATTTTGAAAATAATTTAAAGTTATTTTAGTAGTATTTTTAGCCTTTTTCTTTGCTATATGTTTTTTTTAATATTTAAAACGACCGAGCGCTTTTAAATATGGCAAAACGACCGGTAAATTTTGTGAATTAAGCAGTAGTAAAGATGGGTTTCAAATAGACATTCATACAGACAAATTTTACGAAATTACCATTCGCACCGATGATAGTGATGAATGTGATGATGATATTATCCAACCAACAAAACGAAGAAAAAGTTTTATCGAATAAATGAAGAGCGGGAAGACATTAGCGAATGTGCCGATTCTCCTTCAATAATTGAGTTTGACATACATCGACAAACACCCCGACTACAAATACCAAGCAATATAAAACATCGAATAGATTATTTTACAAATGAATTATTAGACAATATAATAGAAAAAATAAACCATTATGGCAGCAAAAAATGACCAGTGGCATATTCTAAATGCGAGTGAAAGAAAAAGGGATTGTATTGTCTGTTCTGACAGAAAAGCACCAGGAGGAAGCAGGCGAACGGCTATGCATAATGGAAATTTTTTTGAACGTCACCATTCTTTATAAAATGATCAAAAGTAAATTAATATTATAAATGTATGTCCTCCAATGACCACAAATTTTTATCAAACAAATTGCATAACATACACAATGAAATCATGTTTACAGCCGGTAAAGTAGATTGTTTTGAAATCGGTGCCGTGCCGAAAGTGTTAAATTACTAAAAATTCGCCAAAAATTAGAACTAAAAAACTAAATCAAAATCAAAATAAAAAACGAAATAATGATTTACTTGACAAATCTTCTTGTAATAGTAGATAATAATCAGATATGGAATCGAATATGGTATAAAAAATAAGAATGTTGTGAAGCTATAGCAAAGGCAAAAATACAAAGTCTTTTATATATTGAAATAGATTTTTTTAAATTTTTGCGTCTTTAAAAGCAACTTATATCTACCGAATAACACACATTGACGTAGTGATCAATTCTAATATGTACATATATCAAAATTGTGATATTATGCATTAAGATGAGTTGTGAATCATAAATTTGTCGATGAATTGCATATCATATATATATTTTTCAGAATTTGCTTAGAGCCATTAGATAAAAACAAACCAGTTATTTTCCAGATCAAAAAAACCAGGCAATGACAACCGGTATTTTATGGTGTTCTCAGGAGACACCTATTTGCAACTTCTGCGTCTGTTCGACGTCAAGTTCTGACGATTGTTGTTTCTGATTTTAATTCTAAGATATCTACCACCTCCCACCAAAATTCTTGTGGTCTACCACGATCGTGAAGACTTGTTATTTGCGTTTACCTCAGTAGCGATTCTGTTTCGGTAACAAAAGAGTGCAAATAATAAAGATTCAGTGATTATTTACCCAGGCAGACTTAATCGGATTCACGAAGTAAAAAGACTTTTTATCAGGTTAGAATTTTTTTTTCAATGATAGGCAGCTATATTTTGATCAGTCAATTTTAATTAACATTATCAATTCTAACATTTTTTCAAAAACTGTGGTAAACGATTTTCTGTTGTGGCTAAATTTAAATTAACACTTTAATTTAGTATAATAGCAGCGTTTTGAAATTTCTTACTTTAGTCTATTTTATTTGAGAAATTTTTAATACGTGTAAACTACTAATTAATCAATGAGCTTTCAAATTATCATAACACATTGCCTATAAATATTTATTTATTTATTTTTGTTTAAATTCATTTAAGAATAAAATAAATAATGATAAATTTTAAATTTTATAACGGAAAATATATTACTTGATATAAGTGTGGTAACTACCAGAACAAACAAAGCATCTTTAAAATTAGCTATGTGGCATGTGGTCTCTAATTTTGTATTATGTTGGGATAATTGCTTCTAATTAACCAATTTTTATTTCCTGATTTTTAAAGATGATTAAATTCGATTCGATTGATTAAAATAATCAATATTATCATAGAATTAAAAAATATATTTAAAGTCATCATCCTATTAAATCATCTTTAAAATAAGCTGTGGCATGGAGTTTCTATTTTTGTATATCGTAGGAATAATTGCTTCTAATTAACTATTTTTTATTTCTTGATTTTTAAAGACGAATAAGTATCTCATCTATTGATTGAAATAATCACTATTAACATAAAATAAATATTTTTTGTTTAATTTTGATCAATAAAATAATAATGTTTTAAAAAATATGAGAAAAACATTTTATTAGTCACGGAAAGAATGATATATAAAACACTACGAAAAATAATAATAAAATTGATTTTTGTTAATTGTACTTTCATAATATAGTATTCAATAAATATTTTTCAATATCAGTTTCCGTTAACAATTTCAATTCGTTCTCGATAATTACTGTTATGTTTATTTTAAATCAAAGGTGTCAATATATCTATTAAATATTTTTATCATTTCAAAATAAGTATAAAAATAAATTTTTGATGGGAATTTCTGATATGACTAGTGCAACCACATATCGTCAAATTGCATAATGCAACAAATTAGCTGTGATACAACGAGTATGTTTACTTTCAAATGCACTCTACTGTAAATGTAAATGAATGATGTCTCGGTATTTATAAATAGATTATTTATGAGATATATTTTTAATTTGAAGTTAAAAATATGCTGCATTTATAAAAATATAAATAAAAAACTAGTGTGTATGGCATCGTGCCTTAAGCCAAATTCCTGGAACTTACCGTAACAAAATGTTCGAGGAATATTAAATGTTTTCAAATTATAAATATTGTAACATTGTCTAAAAAAATTGTCAAGCAATTATTTTGTAAACACAAGCAGAAAGTTCTTTGAATCATTCAAATCGGACGCTTAGTTCTATCAAAAATTACCATTTTTTGCACTTTTAGCTCTGTATCTTCGAAATGGCTGGACCTGCTTTTTCCAAAAACTAATCACCTCTTCTCCCGATCATTACAATTTGAATGTTTATATCATTCAAATCGGATACTCTGTTCTCTCAAAAACTCGATTTGTATTTTCTGCATTCTTTGCTTTTTATCTCCGTAACGGCTGGACCTGCCGTTGCCTAAAACTAATCAGCACATCTCCCTATCAATAGGAATCGAAAGTTTTTTAACCATTCAAATCGGTTGATCCGTGCGCCCGAAAACGTGGACGAAAAAATGCGAGCATACAAAACACACACGAACATACAAATGTTCAGAAACCTTCAAAACGTGAAGATATGCAAAAATTTTCATTTTCGATTATTGGCCCATTACTATAACTACCCTACGGAAAGTTAAAAAGATACGTAGATATAAAAGCTAGTGTGTAACCGGTTGTAAGCTTGCTGTGGTTTTGTATTAAGAGTTTGGTTTTTTAATCATGGGTTTCAAGTTCGATACCAAGCAGTAGTAATATTAATTTTCACTTGAAATCATATATCTAAATTGTGATTTCAAGTGAAAATAGTCTCCAAGAGTATTGTTAAAATTATATCTCATCACTAATTTAAAAAATCTAGCAATAAACACCACAATAATTTCTATTGATATTCAAGTATCTATACCTATGTAAAATGAAACAAAAAAGCTTTACGTTGTTTATAAAAAGATACTTCAAGAAAATGATGTGAAAAAAGTTTGCATTTATTGGGCATAGGAACTCGAAAAAACTATTAAAAAAACATAAAGATATATAAAAATTTTCATTTTCGTTTTTATGCAATTACTATAACTTGCCCTACGGGAAGTTTATATATTTACTTAATTATCACTATTAACAGTTTAGTTCAACAATATGAGATAGTGTCAAAGTACTTTAAAACTCAGTTTGCGGTCTACATATTTTTACAAATACTGGATCCCCCATATAGGGTAAAATTTCGGCAAAGTTGTTATTTTTTTTTATAAATATGATAATTTTTTTATTTTTTTTTTAAGCTATGACTAAACATATGTTGCATGCATACTTACTTTGTTCTCAATATTTCGAAGTGTTATGTCAAAAATGACCTTTTCTTTAATCACCTGCCATTATAAAACGTATTTCCTTACTACAGAGAATAGAAAGTTTCATCGCTTCATGACGAAGCAGTAATATTTAGCAACAATTCAATTACAAAACTAATTCATAATGAATGTTCAAAAACCTCAAAACCTCAAACTATAATAAAAATATATTGCGACCGTATGAGGAGGTATCATAGCAAAAATTTGAAGATGGCATGATTTTGATAGTATGATCTGATGGTCTGAATAATAATATGCTTAATTAAAACAATAAGTTTTGAATGGTTGAGAAAATATTAAAATTCTTGGGTAATGTCTTGAAAAAAATCCAACTTTTTAGTAATTTAAATATATCATGAGTTGTCGATATTCATACGTTTTTAACTCTATTTTCAGGATGTTTATCAAGGCGTTTATCACGGTTGGTTTGGCGTCGATGGTGTTGGCAAGGCCACAGGTAATCTTCATTCACTTTATTGCCATTAATTTGCTGTTATTAGTGTATAAAAATAATTGTGTAAAATAAATCGTTTATGGCATAATTAAATATTGATGTGAATCTTTTTATTTCTTTGATCTATGATGCCGTAAAATATAAAAACTTTATTGTTTTAAAAACTCTTAGAATCTGAACAATCTTGGTCATAAACATACAAATTTAATGAGCGGCTTGACAAGTGGTTAATTTTTATTGGAAAACCTATTTGATCGATCAAAGATCAAAGATTCATTAAGAACTAATATTCTGTTGGAAAATGTTAAAATTGCGAACTTCAATTATTTTTTGCTCCTAGCAACGTAGCCCTTTAACGTATTTTTTTATTATTAACATAAAAATTCAAAATTTTGATTATGTACAATATATTACACTTCTAAGGGTTTAAAACTAAGATCGCAATTTTAATATTAAATAATGTTATTGAGTTTACGAAACGGGTTTCAGATATTTCGTATTGGAATTTCCAAATGGGTTTATTTTGCATGCTTGACGACTTTAGTTTTTATAAAAATAATATGCTGATGACCTAGAACAAAATATATTTTTATAAAAGCTCCGTTGGTTAATTTGGTTTGAAACGATAACATATTATTTGTTAACAAAGAAACATAGTATAAATTATATATTAAAAACAAGCAATTCACTCATTTTAGTTGATATTGAATGATTTATCCAAAAATATTTAATATAAAATTTTATCGTACTATATTTTTTTTTACTTTTTACCTATTATAGTTATAGTTTATAAAATAAAAATATAATTTTCTTTGTAAAACTTTAAGTTCATGAAATATTGAATGCATATATAATTAAAATTTATTTATGTAATTCTAATTCGGGCTTTTGTTCGCAATTAACATTTTTTGCATAATTTCAGCAAACTCAAGACGTTCACATTCTAAATAAATATAAAGATATATTTTCTCTTTACTTTGCCTTTTTATAGTGTTATTCGATCAAGGCCGATAAATGCAAATGCAATTGCAATACATGCTTATAATATATATATATATATATATATATATATATATATATGTTATATATATATATATATATATATATTGTTATATATATATATATATATATATTGTTATATATATATATATATATATATATATATATGTGTGTGTGTATATACAATAGTACATATAAACACATATAATTTAATATATATAAGAAAAACACGTAGGTGGATTTGAATTCAAATCTATTCTAAATCTAATAAACTAGTCACGAATTTCTTTATGATCTCCAGAAATAGTTTTTTATCTCTAACACGATTTTGATATAAACAAATCATTGTTATACCGGTTTAAATTGAATAATTTTATTTTATTTCTTCTAGTCAACGTCAAGTTGAATTTATTTCTTATATTTTTTGTATTTTTTCGTGTATTTTTTGCACTATTATATATTATAATGTATTATGAAATGTATCTTAAAAAACTATTTTGAAAAGCCGAATTGTATGTAAATATGTAGAAATATTGCCAAAATTATAAATCTTAAAATTGAAACTTAAGTGAATTGGCCCAAGCCAATTTTATTTTTGATTCAATCGTTTTGATCCATCAGATTTTTCAACATTGATGTTTAACAAGATTGCTTTGATTAATTTATTGCATTAAATTGTGCAATGCTTGATTCAAAAATATTATCAAGATGCAATAAAATTTTTATTATTTTTTTTTCAATTTCGGAGTTTTATTATTGAAATGAAATCGAAGTTTTTTCCATCATGTCAATGTAGTATACAATGTCCCTTTTCGGCGGACTATTGTAAATTCATTAAATTTACTGAATGTCCTTTACTGGACAGTTGTAAAAAAAAGTTAATAAAAAAAAATCGGAGGTTTTAAGAAATATTAAAACTTGTTATCTTTGTTTTGTCTTTGTCTTTTATTATTGTTCACTAAATATTTTAGATATTTGTAAGAACTAAATTATTTTTAACTTGCAAATCTTTCCAGTTTATGGTGTTGGATCTTTGAAATTTTCCACGTTAAAGTACAATAAATTGAAGAGCATCTTAATTGTGTTTACGTATTATTGAATAAGATTATAATCGCTTTATAATTGCTACTTCGTCTAATATGCACTTTAATTACGATTCATATGTTAATTACAATATTACAAGCGTATGATTGCATAAACTTTTGTATTATTAACCCTTTCGACTCGGATACCGCCGCTCCGGCGGCAAATTTCATATAAATCTCGGAATTCGCGAATGGAAAGGGTTAACTTTCCATAGGGTAAGTTATAGTAATCGCAAGAAAATCGAAAATGAAAATTTTTATATATCTTTACGTTTCGAAGATTTCTGAATATTTTGGCATACCTTAGAAAAAATGGATGTATGTGTGTGTGTGTGCGGATACAAATTTTTGTCGACGATTTCGGGAACACCGATCAACCGATTTGAATAATTCAGAAAACTTTCGATTCGTATCGATAAGGAGAAGCAAAAAGTGCCAAAAACGGTAACCCAGTTTTTAAGAAAACGGAGCGTCGGATTTTAATAATACATAAAACATTTTACTTGTATTGACAAGTTGAAGATCTGATTAAATTTTTGGGAAGGCAGGTCCAGCGGTTACGGACTTTCAATAAAAATAAGTCAAAAAATGTCATTTGGCGGTCAAAAATATTTATTGGACATATGTACATCAAATTATCTGATATTTCATAGAGATTTTCATAATTTGTACACATTTTGTGTAAAATTTTTTGGATTTTGTACCAAGATTCTCACTTTTAAAATTCACGTATATTGTTCAAACAAATGTCCTCGACATTTTTGTCCAACCAATTTGGATAATTTAAAAAACTTTCGATTCGCATTGATAATGAGACTTGCTGATTAGTTTTTGCCGTTTTTACCATATGATGTGATAAATAAATTCGTAAGCAAATTGATGTTTACAGCTATATGCCTATATCATTATGCATTAAGTAATGAATCATGTAAAAATGTTTGCATTGAATAATATTATGTTTCAAATTATATTTAACTATATTGGCAGTAAACATGTCTATAAATTATACGATTATATCTGAAAATTATTTATAAATCTATATATCTTTTTTTGCAGTTTATAACATTTAAAGATGGTCGTGTGGGTGTGAACTTTGGCGGTTATCACGCGTCCGCCGGTCTGGGCGGTTTGTTGACCGGAGATTCAGCTCACGGCGGTCTTCAGGCTGAAGCAGGCACACCGTGGGGAGCACGAGCTGGTGCAGGACTCGGTGGGGATGCCAGTGGACAAGGTAATAATACTAAGACAAAAAATTATGATCTCAGGATAATTTTGATTGTCCTATCTAATAATCTATCTAATGAAATCTAACGATTAAATAAATGAGTGTTATAACTCATGAGTCGCATCATTTGTTAGTTTAGTAATAATTTTTAACAGTTTGCGACTAATTGTAAGATGTTACTGACTTACTTTGTAGTATATTATGGAAAATTCTTGTTCGTTGTTATTTCTATACATGAGATAGCCATGTTTGGCTGGTATGTTAAGATCGTACATCAACAACGACAGGTTATGGGTTCGATACCCGCCTTGGTCAGATTGACATCTAGCAGTGCTGATGAGAATAGATTCCTAATATGATATCAAGTTAAAATAATCTTTCAGACAAAAGAAAGAATAGTCAACCACTAAATATCTTCTAGAAATACTAAGTTGAGGAATGTGGGTACATCTTATAGCGTACATAGTTTCTATTGCTCTTCCAATATTAAAAAAGTAATAATAACTTTTCTATCTATCTGAAATAAATAAATTTAATAAAAAAATTAGTCGCATTAGTTGTTAGTTTAGTAATTATTATTTCAACAGTTTTCGATTAATTGTAAGATGTTACTCACTTACTGTGTTGTATATTATTACCATGAGCTAAGCATGGTTGCATTATAAGAAAGTAGATTAACAATCACTGGTTTTGGGTTCGATACCCTCCTTGGCCATATTGACATCGAGCAGTACTGATGAGAATAGATCCCTAATATGACATCAAGTAAAAGTAATCTTCTAGTTGCAATATATATTCACATTACTATTAAAAATACTGAGATTGTATTTGTTTGCGCCGCACCTGCGTAGGTTGTCGGACCTGAAAAAGGTTTGGTTTTCTACTCGGACAACATTTTTCAAACTTCTGAAATTAGGCAATTTCGACCCGATGCAGGCAATAATAGTTCTCTTCCATTCGATTCAATTCATTCAATTGTTTCATTCTGTTCCACTCAGTTGTTGCATTCAGGTCTATTCAGTTGCAATTACATTGTTAGTTCAGTAGTTCGTTCAATTCAGTGTTATCAGTTGTTTACATTGTGTGTCAAGTCGACCAGTTATTTTTTTTCTATTTATTGTTATCAGTGTGTTCGAATTAATTCTCAACATTACAACCCGACCACAATGATGTTTCCAGACCCAATCAAGTATACCGGCTTGGACTTCTAAACAGATAACATTTCTATTGAATATTAATATAGTTCTTATTTTTTTGATTTATATAAAATTTATATAGAATATATTTTAGTTTTATTGTATTCATTAGCGCTTATAAAGAAGCACTTCATTTTGAATTTATATTTCATTTTCAATTGGTTTTGTTTTCTGAATTCACTTTAATTTTCTATTCCTCGGAGTAGAAAATACTTCGAAAAGGGTTGCAAAACTCCCCAACCTCAACTGTATTTCTTTTATATAACCTCATCAAAGAAAGAATGGTCAATTACCAACGCTAAGAAACTTCTAGAAACGCTAAGTTAAGGAATGTGGGTACACCATTTAATTGCTGGTAAAGATTAAAAAGTAATAATAATATTCCTATCTAGGTTTAACAGCTCGCACATTTAAAGTTGGTTTGTTGTCCCTTCTATAACAAATTTTTAATTTTCCAAAAATAATGTACCTGCAGGCGCTATGTACGCCGAAGCACGATCTCCATGGGGCAGGGCCGGAGCAGGTCTTGGAGGCGATTTGGCAGCCGATGATGGCCAAGTGGAAACGCTATACCGCGCGGTTACAAATACTCCTACGCTAGGAGACATTAGTTAGCTTGCAATTGCTATATTATTTCCACGATAAATATATTATGATATTGTCACGATTTATATTAGAACGTAATTTGCACATATTGAATAATAGAATTATGACACATGGAGTACCAAAGAAAAGTCCCACGATGCAACTGTATACCAAATAATTCAAAATAATGTCGCCAAAGAATATCTAAATCCATTAATTTTTATCGAAAATATTTATAATTTATCATAAAAATCCGTTTTTTTTGCTAATCTTAATATGTAAATTAACCATTTTAAGATCGCAAATCATTGCAAATTAATTATGATTATAAGTCTGCAATGTATGAGGGTATAAGGCGTTTAGAACAGGTTTCAATTTATCTAACTTTTGTGAATATTTTATTAAATTCTAAACTTATTTCATATCATTCTTGATCAGGTCATATATATTCATACTGTACTGTTACAGATGAATTTTAAATTTCTTCTTATTTGAATATTTTAATAGTTGCTAATTTATTGTAAATTATTCCATGCTGACACAATTTATATCAAACTATTTTTTTATTAAGGATTAACTGTATTTTGTAAATATTCGTCTTGAATTAATCACCAGAAACTAAATTAAAAATATGTAAAAAGTTTTACACATTTTGAACGCCTGTTGTTGAGCTCGTTTGACTGATCTAGTAATGTATCATAACTCTCTATTTTTCCAAATATTATTTATATTTTTTGATAAGAAATATATTATATATATTATACTATATCTTTTTAGCACAATATACACGCGGTATTTTTTAATTAATTAAGTTTCAATCTATTTTTGCACCTTTCGCACTTAGTTATATGATCACTAAGTACAATGTGCTTGTATAAATTAATTTAATAATAATAAATGATTTTAAAAGTATTTCTGTTTTTATCTGAAATATTTCATCTAAGAAAACTACACATATAATTTATATTTTTTTCTATAAATTTCAGATGAATCATTTGTTTTTCCTGATGTAATACTAGAATATTTATAATTATCTTTTTTGCTAATAGTGTAGAGCACATTGTACTAATGATTTGTTTAAATTGGACTTTGGACTTTAGTAATTACTATAATAATTAGTGATAAATTATACGTATAATAGCATTTTTCAAAAAAATCATTATGACTCAGTTGAGAGCATGACTTACATTATTAAAACATATTAACTTATACTAACAA